TTTTAGTAATTTCAAACCCTATAAAATGTTCTTTAATTATAATTCTTTCCCCTTTTTACCAAAAAAAATTGTTCTTTCCCTATGAGATTCAACTTTTCATTCCTGGAATATTAATTGTTCACTCTCTTCTTAATAGCCAGCAATTTAGGAATGAATTCATCAGCCAAAACTGATTCTAGGTATCTATCATTAAGAGAAAATAACCCAGTACAGGGTGGCCTAGTTTGTGGTCTGTGACATTTTTCCTGTGTGCCAGATTTCCTTCATCAACTTCTAGAAGCTTCTTAAGAGGCACACAGACTGGACATTTTCATGCTGGAAACTTAAGACAAAGCTGATCAGATAGCCATGTTCCATTCTGGTGCATTAGCTTTCTGTTTCCAAAGGATGGGCTTTTTTACTTATTCCTTTAAAAGATTTCCTGTCTTTTGATACAGGTTGCTTATACTCAAACCTCTGGCGGGGCCGTCGCAGATTTTCATGATTGAGCACCACCTGCATTTCCAATTTCTCAGCCTCCCCCATTCCTCATTTCCTGTCAGAAAATGAGAAAATGAGTCACCTCATCCTGGTGCATTCCGTGGTGGCAGGTTCTTCTTTAACAGGGTGTAGTAGCTGGGGTGGGGGGCCTTGAGTAAACCAAAATCATAGCCACTGCTTATGGAGTCAGTAACATCCTAAGGATGCATTCTGATGATACTGCGGGAAGTGTTTTCCACATATTACCCGAGTTCCTCTTCCCAGTGGCCCATGAGGTGTGGATGTGAGAGAAGAGTGTTGCTGACTTTTTATTAGAAGTCACACTGCCACCGGTTTATGTAACTCATCCACAAATGTTGTGCATAATGAATGACTACATTGAATCTTCAAGTCTGAGTACAGTGATCCCTCATCCTGGAGGTTATGTTCCAGACACCCCCACAATAAGGGACAATCAACGAAGTAGTAGCATTACAGTTATTTTAGTACATATATATATACATGTATATATAGATATAGATATAGATCTATAAATAGATAGATCTATATCTATATCTTAAGGTTTTATAAATCCTTCCCATACTCATAAACCTTTCCCACACTTTCACAGACATTTCTAATGTTCTTAACCATGTTATAAACTGGTAAGCCTATGTCATTTTAACAACATACGTATACCGGATTGTAATGCAAAATCCCACAATAGAGTGAAAAATCCACAATAAATAACTTAGATTAATATTTTTTGAAAACCCATGAAACAGTGAGTCCATGAAAGTTCAACCATGACATAGCAAGGGACTACTGTACTTTGAAATATGACAAATTTACAAAAAAGATAGATACACAGACACACAGATTCTTCAAGGAAACTCTTGATTCATTGCTAAAATGTAAATAAACTCTCCAAACTTGACTCTCAGAACTCTAAGGTTTTAGTTTCTGACCAAAAATAAAGCACCTTCCTTCTCCTCCATAGAGTTATTTAGCGTTCTAAGCCTGAGAGCAACTTAAAATTGATTTTTATTTTATTTTTTGCCTGTTCTTTCATTTTACTTATGAGCACAAATTGATTTTTTTTAATTTTTGCTGAAAGTTTAACTATTGGATTTCAGACTCACTGTCAGTGTTTTATTATTAAAAAATCCAGTGCATTTCTTAGCCACACATGCTATTTTAAGGTCCTTTTTATTTCCTGAATTTTTTTTTTCTTTTTCTTTCTTTTCTTTTTTCTTTTTTGTACCAGGGATTAAACCAAAGACCCTACACTTGCAGGCAAGTGCTTATTCTACCGAACTATTTTCCTGGCCCTTCTGAGCCAATTTTAATTAGATTACTTCAGTGTAGCTCAAAGAAGAAGAAAAAAGAAGGTAGCTGCCGGAGTACTGACGTTCAGAATCATTTAATATAAAAAACTATGTATTGCAGTCCTGAAGACAGAACTGAAAGCCTTTGCAATTAACTATGTCTTTGTCCTATTTTTTTTTTTTTAATTTTGAGATAGGTTTCCCTCAGTCATCCAGGCTGGGCTCAAATTTGCAGTTCTCCTGCCTTAGCCCCCCAGAATGTTGGGATTACAGGCCCAGTGAAAACTTCCTATGAGTTCTAGAAACTCATTCATAGTCAGACTGTAGAGCACATTGAATGTGACATTTTTTGATGAAAAGTTATAGCTAGTCTTCTCTTCCTCTTTTTTCAAGATTACTCTGTAACTGCCAACTCAAAGATTGTAGTGGTGACTGCCGGAGTCCGTCAGCAAGAAGGGGAGAGTCGCCTCAATTTGGTGCAGAGAAACGTCAATGTCTTCAAGTTCATTGTTCCTCAGATTGTCAAATACAGCCCTGACTGCATCATCATTGTGGTTTCCAACCCAGGTATTATTTGTGCCATACTTTCTGCCTCACTAAATAGCCCAGGCTGGCCTTGAACTAAAAGCGATCCTCCTGCCTCAGCCTCCTGAGTGCTAGCATTACAGGCATGCACTACCATGCCTGGTTCACCTCTTTTTTTAAGGTAATTTGGGCAAAGAATATGAAGCAAATGAATTATTTGAATGTGGCTTCAATTTATAAGAAGCATTTTTAACCTGTTTGCTGAAAAACCCAGTCTAGCATCCTTATCTCTAAATTCTTTAAAACTGTGTTGGACTGAATTTGAAAAGAACTCGAAAACATTGCAGATCGATTTGGTTTTAACAATGAAAACAGATTGTATTGACAGACAGAAGCTGCTAATACCAAATGTGACACGAAGACTGCTTTTCTTGCTAAATCCATCTGTAGGATAAACATTCACATTTATTACTGGAAACAACGCTGCGACTTTTCAGCTTTATTAATTGAAAATCATAGTAGGCCATAGTTTGGGACTCAGCTCCCATACGGAGCCCAACAGACTCTGCTAGAAGTCAAAATGGAGTCACTCATGCCAAGGTTCCGTATCAGCACACGGAAGCTAAGCTGTTCATCTGCCAGGAGAAAACAGGACTAAGGAGATCTCAACCAAATTTCCCAAAGGCCCAGTCCCAGTCAGCATGCTGCTTAATCCTTACACAGAAAAAGTATTCTGAAATTACTTAGTGTTAACCCATTATTTTCTAATATTTTATCTCAACTTTACAAAGAAAGTAACTTTGAAATAACCAGTTCCATTTGTTTTCTATTTGTTGTTGTTGTTGTTCCTGCTTCCATTATCTTTTCTGTGTTTATAAAACCAAACACTGTATCTTCACCCAAACCAACATTTAGTCTGTTTTATGGAATAAAGTATTGGCTGATTCTAGAATCAAAAATAAGGCCAATAGGGATATTTCAATTATAAATTTCTTCTTTGACAGCCTAAGTGGTCAAAATTTGCTGTATATCATACTTCCATTTTGGGGTTTTTTTTCTTTTGCTTTTTTTTTTTTTTTTTTTGTTTGTTTGTTTGTTTGTTTGCGGAACTAGAAATTGAACTCAGGCGCTTACGCTTGCCAGGGAAGCACTTATTCTACTGAGCCATCTCTCCGGCCCCTATCATACCTGCTTTTGTTTAATATTTGCCATCAAGTTTATTGCATGTTGGTGAGCACAGGAGATATTGACAAAAAAGATAAAATAAGTATCTGTGATTTTTCACCTTGGGAAAGATTAAGAATGAGAGCAAGGACACCCTTGTAGTTTATTAAATATTGAGAATTAAGGGCCACCAATGAGGGAGATTATTTCAGGATTATTCTGTCCACACCTAGCTTGGGGCTTACTAATTCATTTAGCCTAGTGTGTAAATATGTATGTGGGAGACAGAGGTAGAACAGGAAGGACAAATAGCTATATTAAGTTCTTGTTTCCTGAGCCTTAGGCAGATGTCATGAACTGGTTATATAACTTGCTAGGTATAGCTTCAAAGTCTAATTCTCCAGGAAGTCACTTCTAGTGACTTCAAATACTCTAATTCTAGTGACTTCCAGGTCTTCTAGTCCTTAAAATATTTCACCCAGGCCCTGTTGATGAGTACGGCAGTACAGAGTGCAGGACCGACTTCTAACTCTTCACTGTCCTCTCATTGATCTGTTCTGGGTCCCCAACCCAGGGCCTTTGCACTAAGCTACATCTCCAGCTCCTGATTCCCCTAGATTTTTATATTGACTGATTAACTGATTGGTTGGTTTTTTGAGACAGGATCTCACTATGCAGTTCAGGCTGGCCTTGAACTCGCTTTGTAGCCCAGGCTGGCACTGAACTCACAGTGATCCCTGCCTCAGCCCCACGTGCTGGGATTACAGACCTGCACTATTGTGCTTGGCTGTTTTTTATTTTCACACAGGTAAACTAGCAAAATTTTACTTCTGTGTAAATGTGGGGTTTTGCCAAATGAAAACAAAATATCTCCATTTTATAGAATATTGAGTTTTAATTCCTTGTGTTATCACAGTAGTCAGCAGAACAATATCTCCTACCCAACACAAGTATTTTATTCTTTCTGGCCATATCTCCTCTGGGGAATGAGGATGTGTAGGGGAGGAGGAAGCTAGGGCAGCCACTAATTGAAATCAGTTTTGATTTGCTCATCAAGATTTTTTTGTAAACCATTTAGTGGATATTCTTACCTACGTTACCTGGAAACTAAGTGGATTGCCCAAGCACCGTGTGATTGGAAGCGGATGCAATCTGGATTCGGCTCGATTTCGCTATCTTATGGCTGAAAAACTTGGCATTCATCCCAGCAGCTGCCACGGGTGGATCCTGGGCGAGCACGGGGACTCGAGTGGTAAAGAGAAAGCTATGTTCTTCCGGCCTTGCTCTCGGGAATGTTTTGATTTTAAATCTCATTTTTATGCCCTTTGATGTTTTCTGAAAAAATTTAAAAAATAGTATAGTTGATTCTGTTTTGTTCTCATTGGCTTTATCATTTACTCCTTTTTTTTCTCTCATCTCTTAATAAACTTGCATATTGATCTGTGTCATCTCCATGAAGTGAAAGAGAATTTCCCCATGGGCAGGATCACTCTGATTTCGTAGATGTGACAAAAGACCGTGGAAATACTCAATGAGCTAGACTTGTAGAGCGTGTGCCGAAGAGTTCTATTGGCCTTGAGTAGCTTCCCTTTGAGGCTGTCTTAGCAACACTAAGCTTCACTCAGCCCTTGCTCCTGTTTCCTGGTCTGTCATGTCCCCTCCAGGAGCCCCTACAGAGCACAGAACCTAAGTGTCTGGATCGAGGTTCCATACCTGTGTTTATAGCCCTTTAATCAAGTAGACCTTTATTTGTTTTATTGCATGTTCAGAATTATAATTTATGTGAGTATAATTATACTGTTTGGAGTCTTATCTATGACTTTTATTTTAGAAGGAATAAAAACCTTACATTAGAAAAAAGCAGGAAGAAAAATTAAAACTCTTCAAATCAGAAGGTTAGGGTGCTCCTAAGATAGACTCCTTTGTGATTTCACAAACCAAGAAGGAGGAAAAAAGAAAAAAAAGAAAAAAACCTTATATTTCTGTAACTTTGACACAAAAATTATTTTATACCAAATTTGTTGAAAGTGCAAAGGTTAGATGTGTGGCCACTTGAAGGCAAGTGTCCCAACAAATGTCCCCAAAATTCAGGACAGTAGGAGTCACTTGTCACTGGGTGATATAGGAGCTAAGAGGCAGTAACTTGTGTCAGAGGTGAAGTCTGCACTAAGATTTCTGAAATAGAAATACCTGGAATGCTTGGCTCCAGTTTTCCTTTCTTCTCTCAGTGGCCGTCTGGAGTGGAGTGAATGTAGCGGGTGTGTCCCTCCAGGATCTGAATCCGGAAATGGGCACGGACAACGATAGTGAGAACTGGAAGGAAGTGCATAAGATGGTGGTTGAAAGGTAGGCAGGAGGGAGCTGGACTTGGGACAGTTAACCTCATGCTGACGTAAGTGAGATGGTAAGTCATTCCCATGGCCGTCTGCTCAGGTGAAGTTCCTGTAGTCAGTGTGTGGTTGGTTATGTTTGAAAACAGCAAGACTGACTAGACCGGTCAGACTTGTTACACCAATCTCTCAGGGAAGTAAATATTTTCTCTGTAGAGAAAGTTTGATTGTCAAGTGAGAAAGGCCTTCACCTGGCCTCCCATCATCTGGCATGGTTGATTTATCTCAGAAAGTAAGCATAGGCCGGCCAAATAGGCCAGCACCTGGCAGGGTGCTGTCTGCAGATTAAAGCACCTGCAAGCAGGTGCAGGAGCCAGGGGTTCAATACTCAGGTCTGATGTGCTGGCCCCACCCCCAGGGTGCGCTGACAGCAATTGAGACTGGGTGTGGTGGCGCACACATGTAATCCCAGCTCTTGGGAGGTTGTAAACAGGCAGATCACTATGAGTCTGATCTAGTAGTGAGCCCCTGAACACCCTGTAGACCCTTCCCTAAAATACAAAAAAAAAAAAAGTAAGCATAGATCCCTAAGTCTCATGATTGCCAAATAAAGTACTAGAACTCAGATAGTTGAAAGTATTCAACCTGTTTCTTTCCTTATCTCTCCTCTTACAATTATAGATGTCCCCATGCCCTTTTCTTGATAAAATCTTCAATAAGTATTATTACAGAGCATTTTTATAGTAAGACTGTTCTTTTTATTTATTTATTTTTTTAGTTGAGAAATAAATATGAATGAGACAGTTTCACAGCTGATTAATAGGACAGTTTTGATAATTATTACACTATACATTGTTATCTTCTTAGTGGTTATCCATAGTACAAGAAGCAGACAGGATATTCTGTCCAAACACTGTTAGTACACCTCTTTCTTCTCATTGAATTAAGTGAAAGTAGCTGTAAATTTATCCCAACTATTTTGTATATATAAATACAAAATGATCTTTCCTTTGTATCCTTTTTTTTTTTTTTTTTTCTTTCAGAGGTGAATATTCTATTGACATCTAAATACTATAGGTGTTTGAATTCAACTAAACAATCTAACACTGTCTAGCAGTCTATAATATTAGTGGGTTATCCTCAGAAGTTATTGACTTGAGCCTTTTACAGCTCATCATATTAATGTGGATTTACTTTACCTCATTTTTATACTTTTCTGCTGGATGGTTAAGACCAAGATATACCAAGACCTATATAACAAGAAATGTAACTTTTGTATCTGATAAGGTCAGCCAAGTACTCTCAGGATTTATCCTGTAGCCCTGTACCACCCTTCGTACATCCTTTTATCAGTGTCTGACATGAGGATGAGTCATGGCCATTGCTTGACCAATTTGCTCTCTGTGAAAACCTGAGAGAATATTTTTTCTCTCCATGTGACTCTCCTTAGGCACACTATACATCATCAATCGCATTCCTCTGTGGCTCCATAATCTTCTTGATCAGAAAATTTGGAGCACAACTGAGTTACATGTTGTTACAGTACAGGTTCTCCTATAATACTGTTCTTTTTAAGTATGGAAATTTTGTTTAGTTCAAATGTATTTTTTTTCTTTTAAGAATCTAACTTACATATAAAGAAACAGGATTTTTTATTTCTTATTTTATCTTTTCTTATTTTGAAGAGTAAAAACAAAAGCAAAAACAAATGGTAGAGCAATAGATTTGATGATAAGACAGAATTTTTTTTTTCTTTTTTATTTTAGGGAAGGATCTACAGGTGTTCAGGGCCTCACTACTAGATCAGACTCATAGTGATCTGCCTGTTTACAGCCTCCTGATAGTTGGGAATATAGGCGCATACCACCACACCCAGTCTCAATTGCTGTCTCAGCACGCCCCAGGGGCGAGGCTGGCATGGCAGGCCTGGGGATCGAACCCCGGCCCCTGTGCCTGTTTTCAGTTGCACTGTAATCTGCTGAGCTATTGAAAAGAAAGGTTTAAGACAGAATTTTTTGAAGTTGAAAAAATCATTAGAATTTTAACTACATTAATCCTGCTCTTCTATAAATGAGAAAAGAAGGGCTCACCCAGCGTATGGAGCATCACTCATGCAAGACCTCCTGGTGAGCGGCAGATTGCAGTAAGTCCTAACTTCCTGATACTCACATTCCTGCCGCTCCTGAAGTAGCACCTTGGGTGAGCTGTGAGGTGTGCGATGTGGACTCCTCCCTGGAGATCACCTGGCAGAGTGCTGTCAGCACTTCCTTGGGTAGCTGAGCGTACGCTTAGGGACCATGGCAAAGTGGCATCTCACAATTAAGACACAATTTACTCTCTTATTTTCACTGTGTCCTTAGTCATTTGGAAACACATTCATTCTACATTCTATTGATTGGAAAGGATGCGTTCTGCCCTATGGCTTTTCAAATATTCACTTATGCAGTTAGCTGTTTACATTTGTCAACACATTTATACACTGCCTGCAGGTAGTTCTGACAGCTGTACACTCCTCATTTCATGACTGAATTCTACTCCTGGGAATGGGTTATTAATCAATGGGTTGCTAAATGAAGAACTGTGTATAGTGTGTATGTCATAATATTCAGAATAAAAATGTGGTCAAAGGAAACTCTAACTTGATAACTTGGCTTTTATTTGCAAACTGTTTGCATATGCAGTACTATAATATATAGTGGAACACAAAACTGCAGCATTGTACTGTACAACGCAACCAAGAAAAATTACAGCACATATAAATGCAGTGTAACCTATCTATCTATCTATCTATCTATCTATCTATCTATCTATCTATCTATCGAGACTGGGGCTCCAAAAGCAGATGTACAGAACTGTATAAAAATAAAAAGGACACACACCAAAAAAAGGGGGGGGGCGGGGAGATGGCTCAGTGGAATAAGCGCTTCCCTGGCAAGCACAAGGGCCTGAGTTCAATCTCCGGTTCCACAAAAAAAAACCCAAAATAAAATAAAAAAATAAAAAGGACATACAAACCCAAGCAGCAGGTCATAAGTCTGAATAGCTTTCCTCACTTGTGTGCCTAAATAGTTGTTAAATTCCTCTTTAAATGAGCAATGTTTGCCAGGGAGATAGCTCAGTAGCTTAAGAACCTTCCTGGCAAGTGCAAGGTCCCAGATTTGATCCCTGGTACTGAAAACAAATGAACAAACAAAACAACAACAACAAAAAAGAGAAAAGAAAAAAATAAATAAATGAAGAATGTTTGTATTTTAATTCATTGAACACATTAAAAAAAAAAAAAAAGCCTACCAAATAGAAAACAATGTTATTTCAAAGACAATAACCCTGTGGCAAGAAATGTTAATAATTTGCCCCAAGCTTGATAGACAATAAGGAATAGTGAAGCAAGAGTCAAACCCAGGCAGTCTGGTTTTAGTGATCGTTTGTGTTTTATGTTGTTCTTAGTGCCTACGAAGTCATCAAGCTGAAAGGGTACACCAACTGGGCCATCGGCTTAAGTGTGGCTGATCTTATTGAGTCTATCCTGAAGAATCTATCCAGGATTCACCCAGTGTCAACCATGGTCAAGGTAAGACAAACTAATAAACGATAAGCAATATAAACAATATACCTAAAGTACAAAGGTTAAGTTACTCTCCACAATTATTTCTTTTCCTTTTTTTTTTTTGGTACTGGGATTGAACTTGATTCTGCAGTTATTTCTGTTGTCGCAATACTTTATGTAAACTTTTTTCCCCTTTCTACAGCCATATAGTAAAAGAACCCAAGCTTGTAGAACCTGAAACATCAGTCATATTTTAATTATTCTTTCTTGTATGATGTGGTAAATTAAATATTACATCTGTCTC